AAAAACACTGGGGGCCATCACTTGGTGATGCTTAAGCAGTATTACTAAATGCAAGTTCTATTAATTTCAATGAAACATCTGTTCAGATTAGTTTGCATATGCCTGAGGTTGTACAAAACCATTATAAAGAATTAATTTTAGTAGAGTCCCTGTGAAGCCTCTTTAGGATCACAAGTAGTGCAGCCATTACTATTCTACACATGCTTATGGGCCAAAAAATAGTGACCAACATCCCCCTCCCCTCTATCACAAATGATTAAACTCGGAACTGGATAAAACAACTGGCAAGGTAGGCTGAAATATTTATACCTAGGAGTACATTTCACTGAAATAAGTGGGGTTCCTGAGCTGATATATATTCTAGAATTGTACTATGGTATTCGTTTTAAAGATCTAGTTCAAGATGATGATGAGTCAAATTCATAATTAGGTTTTCAATCACTGATCTTAAAGTGGATTACAATTAATTGTATCTGCTTCTTTGGAAATAAACTTCATTAGATCAATGAGACTGACTTTCGTGTACCCGTCTATAGGTAGTTCTTGACTTATGACCACAATTGAGCCCAAAATTTCTGTTGCTAAGTGAGACATTTGTTAAGGGAGTTTTGTCCCATTTTGCGACCTTTCTTGACACTGTTGTTAAGTGAATAACTGCAGTTATTAAGTTAGTAACATTGTTGTTAAGTGAATCTGGCTTTTCCATTGACTTTGTTGGAAGGTTGCACAAGATGACCGCATGACCCAGGACCCTGAAGCCATCATAAATATGAGTCAGTTGCCAAGCATCTGAATTTTCATCATGTGATCATGGGGATGCTGCAAAGGTGAGAAGAGTGAAAAACCATCATAAGTCACTTTCAGTGCCTTTGCAACTTCGAATGGTCACTAAATGAACTGTTGCAAGTGGAGGACTATCTGAATTGTTTTATTAAGTAATAAAGCCACAGTGATAAAGATATAATGGGGCAGATTAAAATTGGAATTGGGAAAAATTGCCCGAGGACAGTTTGTGATAGCATTTTCCAAAAAGTAGTCCCTTGGACCAGTCACAGCAAAATTAATTATTGACTCCTGACCTTGGCAGCAGCCACTGAAAAATTGTCTGGCACTTGGCCCCAGCTTGGTTTTCTTCTTTAGATTTCAAAAATGCAGGAAGCAACAGAAGCAAATGCCATTACCTCAAACAATCGGGATTCAGTCATAAAGAATGTGGGGCTACATTTTAATTGTGTATTAAATAACCTGAGAGAGCACAGTTGTACTCTTAAACTAGGTAGGTTAGTTGCCTATTTGAAGTAGGCCTAAAACGGGCATTTGAAAAAATGTCTTAGCATTTGTGAAGAGGCTAAGAAATCAGGAATAATAGAATTCTATAAGGTATATGAATGGTCAAAGACTCTAGCTAGGTTCATATCGCAAGAAAAGATGTTTTATCAATAGAAAAATGATAGGGGCTTGATTTGCAGCAAAGAAAGTAGAGTTCTTTTCCAAATTCTTGGAGCCTTTATTTTTTTTATTGTTGAGCTGAAGGGAGTTTCTTAAGAGATTTAGAGCCGCTTTGTAACACAGACTGCTTTATGTCAGGAATTTTAATGTAACTTATGGAGATATTTATGAGTTACTCTCCAGCCCCTACCCCAAGCTGAGTCCCTATCTGAGTGAATGTTTTTAATTCTATACTTGGCATCTTAAAATGCATAGACTCCAGGAATTAGCAGATGATGAACATAATTACTTTATGTTTAAAAAAAGACCAGAACTTCAGTGAACAACCAAAAGCAGTTACAATTATCAGTTTTCCTAAAATTGCTTAACTGCCATGGAAAGAAAGACATGTTTTAGGTGATACATGCAGGTTTCCTTCAAATCCATATTATTGCATAGTTTTATCAGATAACTAGAATTGATGTATTTGTTAGTTATTTATCAAATTTGTAAAGCTGCCTGTCTCACCAAAGGTGACTCTGCACAGCATACCCATCAGATAAAAAACACAAACATAAAAGCAACAGACATAAAAATACAGGTATGTACATTAAAAAATAAATAGTATAAACTATATATATGTATGTATGTATGTATGCATGCATGCATGCATGTAACTAACTCAGTGTTGAAAGGAGCATTTAGCAATGGGTTACTGAACACTTTTTATCTCGAGGGTCAAAAATAAAATTCTACTACTGTTGAATGAGGTTTCACAACTACAAATTTAAAATGTTTTCTGAGCTTATTATCCCCTTAGTACTGTGGGTTTTTTTTAAAAAAATAAAATTTGCTGTTCTGGATGACAATGACAGTTTTGTATGGCTGCCAATCTAATAGGAAACCGGCAAAGGTTTTCATACTCCTGTGTATAAATTAGATTTTGTTTAAGGATTCTTGGAATAATCCTAAAATTTTATTTCTTAATTTCAATACCATCTCACTGTATATGTTCTGGAGGGCTGTTACTTAGCAAAATAAATATAAAGCAGACCAGGTTATTATATCTATTTGTTGTCATACACTAGTTTAACAGGAAGAGAATTAAATCTCTCTTTCCTCAGGAGTTTTTGGCACATGCCTGCTCAAAAATATTGTATGTCTCATAAAATAAATTATAAGAGAGGCAAGGAAGGTTGAGTTTAAGGATGACTATTCTGATGTGAATCCCTTTACATCGTCTGACTCATATTCTAGTGTATGTATCAACCAGCAACAATCCCAGTTATTCTGTTTGCATAATCCAGGAAACTGAAGATTTCATCTTATTTGAACTCAATATTATAATAGGATATGAATGTTGTACTATAGTTTTTGCTGGATTTATTTCAGAATAAATTATTAAACTACACCTGTCTATCACAGGTCCTTGGGAAGAACTCATGTGGACAAAAATGCGAAATCCAGATATAATACTGGATAGGTGTCTAAAAATGCGAAATCCAGTCTGAACATCTGGCTGACTGTACATCAAACCATAATACATTGCATTAAATTTATATGTTGCTCAATTACCAGCAATTCTGGGTAGTTTTACTATGATTAAAACATGTTAAAAAAAGAACAATACAAAAAGTAAAGAAAGAGGATAACACAAATGAACAGAGGGTCAAGAAAAAAAGAGGGGAACAGAAAAGAAGAAATGGGCATCCATCATCTTCCAAAAGCTCAGGTGAAAAGGCATTAAGAGTTTAGGTGCAGACATATTTTAGATATTTAATCATTTTTATATGAATACTTTGTTTTTACATGGGGATCCAATACATAGACTACATATGAACATTTACTTCTGGTTTTTGGCAAAAAGAACCTAATGCAGACAGACAATGAGTTCGCTTAATGACTTGGCATTTGCAACAACCACCAAAACAAAGGCTGTGTAAACATGTGTTACATTAACAACCAGTGTGATTTATGACCATAACAATCCATCATGAACGTTGAAGGCTACCTGCAGTGGTGGGATTCAAATAATTTAACAACCAGTTTTCTGCCCTAAAAATTTACCATATTTAAAACCAAAACCCCAAATACATTTATTATAAATTTCAATGCATTTAATATTTAAATAAAACAATTAAGAGGTACAGTACACAAAACATAATTAGTTAATTTTAAAATATTAATACAAAATTATTAACACCTGATAAAAAACAATAAAACTGTGGTGTAAGATATTTCCATATGGCTTCTTGATTGGCTTCCTAACTTGCATTATTTTTTATTTATTTTTTTTTTTTTTAATTTGATTTATATGCCGCCCTTCTCGGAGACTCAGGGCGGCTTACAGTGCGTTAAGCAATAGCCTTCATACTTTTGTATATTTATACAAAGTCAGTTTATTGCCCCCACAATCTGGGTCCTCATTTAACCTACCTTAAAAGGATGGAAGGCTGAGTCAACCTTGAGCCTGGTAAGATTCGAACCTGCAGAATTTTTTTTTTTTCTTAATTTGATTTATATGCCGCCCTTCTCCAGAGACTCTGGGGCGGCTTACAGTGCGTTAAGCAATAGCCTTCATACTTTTGTATATTCATACAAAGTCAGTTTATTGCCCCCACAAACTGGGTCCTCATTTAACCTACCTTAGAAAGGATGGAAGGCTGAGTCAACCTTGAGCCTGGTAAGATTCGAACCTGCAGTAATTGCAGGCAGCTGTGTTAATAACAGGGTGCTTTAGACCACTGTGCTACCAAGGCTCCTTCCATTTTCTTCGCTTTTATCCGAGCATCATCAGCTGTGCGATTTGTCCTTAACCATCTTTTCACTGTAGGAATAGGATCCCATTCCTTTGGAGGTAGGCCATTTAGACTAAGTTATTGTTTTTGATATATTAGAAACAACTAGGCGACTTCTCTTCCATGAACATATTATGTTCATCTTTGAAAAAACCTTTTCCACTTCTGCTGAACTTACAGCAATTGTTCTGATAATATTTGTAGCTCTTTGAACACTTTCAGGAATTGTGTAGTTCTGGGAATTTTTAAAAACATTTTCCACGAAATCTCGATAATCATTAAAATCAATTTGGTAATCAAAAATGTCATTAAATATATGCAATTGTTCTTCAGCTGCTTGCCATGGAACATCAACTTCTTCAATATTCCAGCAATCTGGCTCCAAAAATTTGAGAAATTGTAATATATTACTGTCTGGAAATTGGCTACAACTTGCTTTTAAATATTCACAATCCATTAGTCTTTTTTCAAATTCATTACGATGTTTTCTAAAAGTCTTTCCCGAGGAAGCCCGACATATCGCTGATTTTCTACGAATTTTATCTTTTTGAAGGTTTCAGAACTAATTAATTCATCAACTTTTTTTTCATATGGACCCTTTTCTTTTCCAAGCATTTGAAATGCTTTAATAGATCTTATCATGAGTCTTTCAGCCTTTATTATGTCTAGATTTCTTGCTTACAGTGCATTTGAAAGAAGAGAAATTTCGTTTAAAATACCAATCATCAATGCCAAATCTGTTATAAAATATATATTTTCAAGACGGGCAGTACTTTTCATTTGAATAAAAATAGTGATGTAGCGCTGGATAAGCATGCCACACAGCTAAGGTTGACTTTAAACTACAGGCAGCCCATCTTGGTCCCAAACTCCATCTATCTTTATAATTTCAATTCCAAGTTGTTCGGATATTTTGGTAAGTTCAATTTGGCTCTTATTGGATTGATGAAAAATAGTATGTATCTCATCAATAAATTTTAAAATTATTTACTTGGTTTATTTCCTTTATCAAATCATCTAAACCAAGATGGAGACGATGGTTTAAACCGTGCCATATTATGATGTTTGGAAAGTCTTTTGCTATCTTAGTGCTCACTCCAGATTTTCTCCCAAGCATAACGCTGGCACCATCGGAGCAAAATCCTATTAAATTTTTTTCTAGGTAGTTTTTAGTAAGCCCAACATTATTTAAACTTTCCATAACTGAAGAACATATTGTGTCTGCATCTTGCTTTTCCAATTCAACTAGCTGAACGAAAATTGTTGGCGATGTAACTGAATCCTCAACTTTTAAGAAAACTGTAACAACTGGTTTGCAAGGTATCATTGAGGCTTCGTCAATAATCAAACATATTTTCAAATTATTTTCAATAATTTTAGTAAATTTTTCTTTTTCAATTTCCTTTGCAATGAAATCAACTATTTTCACAGCAGTTGTACGTGAATGTAATCCTATTCCCATATCTAATCCATTTTTAATTTGCACTTCTATCTCTTTTTTTACGTCTGAAAACGGTTTACATCTTTTTGCTAGGCTGTAAATTGTATTAAATACTCTACAAATAGTAGGTAAATATTTTTCATTCATCTTATCTATTCCTTTTGTTACTGAATCCTGCTCACATTGTTTTAAGTTCTCCTTACCAATGTTATGAGCTTTTGATGAAAAATTTTCTTTCATTTTTTTCCTTAAAGAAGCTTGTTGTATCTCTTTAACTTTGGAGTTATTGTTTTTTACTTCAATAATTGACGTGCTGCTTTCTTCAGGTTGGAGTGGTTGTGCTTGTGACTGTTTTGTACCATCCAAGGCCAATTCTGATACAACTGTTTCCAATTTTGGTTTCTTATTGAAAATATCTGTCAAACTCTGTTGCCTTTTCATCCTTTTAAGGGCTACTGCAAAAAAATTAAAAATGTGTTTAATATTATATATATGTATATATATATATATAATATATAATAATATTATATATATAATATTATTTATTTACAGACTTTTATCGAAGATTACAAGATATTGTACAAAAACGTATTGAAAAGTTTATGTATTAATAATCAAGCGAGGATATATAATAAAGAATGCAAAGTTTTATAACATATTACTACAATCACCAGATGAAATAATAGAATAAACCACTCTACTGACAGATTGTGTAATAATCCGGAAAATTTTTGAGTGTGCAGAAATGGACAAACTGACTATAGAATTAAATAATAAGGAAGACCCAGAATATTACTCAACTTGGGAAAACTGGTATCAATGGATAGAAAATAAAAATAGGAAATATATAGATCAAAATAAGACATAAATTGTGTTTACACATACTTGATCAAGTAGGAAAATTTGGGAATATATGAATAGAGTTAAGATTTGTGTACTGTCAGAACGATACTGAATTGTAGAGTTATTATGGACGTATCTTAGTTACAGATGTATTTGTATTTGTATTTGAATATTTTAAACTTTAATAAAGGTTCTTTGAAAATAAAAAAAGAAATTATAGAATAAAGAATAGGCAATAATTAGAATCGAAAGAAAAAGGTGTAGGAAGGGAAACACACCAAGACAGTGTAGTCACAAGAAAAGCAAGACCAGAAGCCTCTAAAGCGGTATCACCAAACAGAGCCAGACCAGAAGCCTCTAAGAAAACTAGAAACTGCACCCAAAAGCAAAATACCCCAAGCTAAAGAAATTGAAGCTTAAACCCACTAGAATAGGAAAACTAGAAACTGCTAAAGAAATTGAAGCATAAACACATTAGAATAAGAAAAAAACATTTAAACAGATATCCCAAAGAAAAGAACCAAGCCAAAGTAATTAAAATGCCAGGCATACTTGAAAACAAAGCATTTAAAAGGACCAGCACCATTACCAAACACATACAATATAAAGGACATGCAGGAAGAGAGTCATTAAACTAGGAGCAAACAAAGGGTCTGGGATATTGCAGAAAACACAAGAGATTAGTTCTAAAAACTTGGAAAAAGGTGATGGGATTAATAAAAAACAGTACTTAAGGAAGAAAACAAACAGAGACCAGGATTAGAACTATTAAACCAATCACTAACACAGAAGGACCAGACAAAAGTCATAGAAGCCAACCGCAAAGGAAAAGGGTATAAAAACTTACAGTTCAGAGTTAGCTAGCCCCAGGAAAGAAACAAAAATAAAAGGTTCTGGCTTTCACGCAGCTGCTTCTGTCTGAATCCTTCCACTGTGTCTCCCAGCTAGGAAATTCGAACCTTTCAACAAAAGAAAAATTTGTAAAAGATAAGCCAACAGTTGGGACAAGACAAAAAATGTCACAAAAATAAGCTCAAGTAGAATATTGCTCAAGTAGAATAAAATATCATGATTCAAACAATATGTATAAACTATATCAATATCAGAATGCAGATCCTTCCCATTCTGCATCAAGGAAATCAAGTTAAAGAAAGTTAAACAGTCTGGCAACAAAAAGCCAGGAACAGGAACCCCCACCCCAGTTTTTTGAGAAGACAGGCTATCCTGCATTCAAAGCCAGATTGCAGCAAGCAAGGGATTGGAAACACCTGAATGCACGCTAGTCTGGCCATTTCGGAACCCGTTTGCCAAACTCAAAAACAGAAAATTAGGTATCAGTTCTGCCGGATCCGGTAGGAACTGGCTGAATCCCACATCACTTACAGTAGTGGCCAAAATTATGGAAACCTGTTGGGAAAAGTGTATTTTCTAAAACTAGCTAATAGCACCAATTTTTTTGGGAGTAGTATCATATAATTATATATCAATGGAAAGATAATTTAATCTAGAATGTAATGCAATAACTTTTATGAAGGATTTGCTATTAGAATAGCAGTTACAGTATAAAGAAGAAAAGTGAAGCACAGAAAAAACGAGATATACAAAAATTATCACATCAGTTAATACTTAATTGGGTAACCTTTAGCATGAATTATGGCCTTATAACGTCATGGAGTGAAACAAGTCTTTTAGTTATAATGTGAAACCAAGATTGAATTATTGCTTCTATTAACTGGGTTGTATTGCTGGGTCGCTTCTGACTAACATATTTCTTTAGTCGGCTCCATAGATTTGCAATTGGGTTAAGGTCTGGGCTATTCCCAGGGCATTCCAGCAGTGAAATATGATTATCTTGAAACTTCAAAACAAAAAGTGTGTTATTAGCCACCAAGTGCACTAAAAAATGCACTTTTCCCAAAAGGTTTCCACAATTTTGGCCACTACTGTATATCAGAGGTCTCCAACCTTGGCAACTTTAAGACTGAAGTCCACAAATCTTAAAGTTGCCAAGGCTGGAGACCCCTGACTTATACCACATTTTCTAAAACGCAGGGAAGGACAAATCACTTCTGGTATCTTGGTTAAATGATTGTTTGATCAGCCCAGGCAGTCTTAGGAAAGACTCCAGAACAAGAAACTTCCGTTATTTACAGGGTTTATTTATTTTATATTTTTAAGAAACGGGGAGGGGAAATTTATCGTACCTTAACTAGTAGTACACCCGATTCCTCCGAGCTTGATTTTCAGTCCACTCCCTCCTGTTGTATCTCCACGTGGGGACTCCCAACAGCAAATCTGCTCCGATACTCCCTATTCGTGGAAGATGCCCAATTTGCTAGGCTGGAAACAGTGCGCGGGGCATGTAACCCCGACGCTCCGTTTTCTCCGCCCAAACGCGGCTTTCCCACGCCTCGTCCTCCGTTCAACAGCCGGGTAAGGCTCCCCGCTCTACAAGACTCCCGCGCTTTCCAGCCCCGCCCAGGCGGGAGGCGTGTCCCCGACCGTTGCCGTCCGCAACCACGTGACCGACAGTTTTTTTTCCCCCTCCCCCCCGCGCCGGAATTCCTCCCCGCCGCTCATCTCTAGGGGTAACCGTCTCGCGATACCTTTTGTGATCTCGCTCGTCCGAGCGCTCCGCGTCTCGCGAGATTCCCCCCCCCCCCGACAAGATGGCAGCGCGGTCGAGCTGGTGAGAGCGGAGCGGCGAGCGGAGGAGGAGGAGGTGGTGGAGGTGATTCCGTAAGAAAGCTCGGCTGGATTCAGAGGTTCTCCGCCCGCGGAGTGTCCCCGGCTGGGGGAATGCCGACGGGACGGGATTCGCCGCCGCGGCTCTGAGCGCCCCGAACCCTCCGCGGCTTTTGCAGCTCCGTGTCTCCTCATCGTGGCCCCCCAACGCCCGGGGTCGCCGCTGGCGATGACCGGAGAGAAGCTGCGCTCGCTGCGCAAGGATCACAAGCCCAACAAGGAGGACGGGGACCTGCTGGGGCCCGGCGAGGAGGAAGCGGCGGCCGCGCCTGGCGGAGGCGCTTTCACAAGCGCCCGGGCGGGAAGCGGCAAAAGCGGCCGCGGCTCGACCCACCGCATCTTCACCAACCATCACCGGCTGCCGCTGAAAGGAGGGTCCGGCGGGAGCTCTTCCCTCGCCGCCTCCAGCCTCGACCCCATCAAGCCCCCCGGCGCGCAGTTCCCCGTGCACGAGTGCGTCTTCAAGGGGGATGTGAGGAGGCTGTCGGCGCTGATCCGCACGCAGGGCATCATCGGCCTCAAGGATAACCACGGTAAGGGGCCGGCCTCGCCTTTCCCTGCTTCGTTTCTCCGGGGAGGTAGAAGAGAGCCGCCTTCATACCACCCGTGGCTTTGGGGAAGAGGGCTCCATGATCGTCGCCCTTTTGATTCCCCTGGTTTATTGGTAACCTACTGGTAGGAATTCTGCCTCTCCCTAATTTTCAGTTCTCTCCAGGGGAAATTAGGTGCCTGCCTTTGCTTTATTTGGCAGCATCCCTCGAGTTACAACTCTCTTTTAAGAGGGGACCGTCCTTTCTACTGTCCTGAATAATCAAATATAACCAATTCCCTCCAAATCTTCCCCGACCCAAATTTCCCGTTCTTTTGCCTACAAGCACAGGTTCCACTTTTTTTTCAGATGGGGAAGCTGGTACTTAGACCGGATCTTTTTATCTCCTATTGAAAAGCATGCGGCTGAATTTTAATCTTTTGAGAATTTCGAAACAGAACCTTCTTAGGAACCTAAGCTTTTTAAAATTCAAGTTGTTCCTGTGTAGTGTTTCAGATCATGACCCACCCGATTATGGGCTATTTTAAATGCTGAAAATGTTATTGTTGGAAGGATTGTTTCTGGCAAAAGTACGTTTGTGACTGTGCTTTTGAAGAAGTAAAGTTCTTGTTGAAAAATCCCAAATTGCACACAACGACATTGATGGAGTATTTTTCTTCTTTAAAAAGAAAATATCATTTTATGAGGGTTTTTTCCCATTCTAGACTCCTAACTCTTTACATTTATATAAGTTATATTCTGTTGACAGAAATCAATTGATTACCTAATCAGTGCTTTAAATAAATGTCTCAAGTCCAAAGAGAATGTACTAATCAGAAATGTAGGTTTAATAACTAAGCCTTTATTATTCTCTTCTACAATCTTGTTTTATTTTTTTACTGATCATAAAGGAGAATATATTTTTTTAATTTGATTTCTATGCCGCCCTTCTCCGGAGACTCAGGGCGGCTTACAGTGCGTTAAGCAATAGCCTTCATACTTTTGTATATTTTATACAAAGTCAGCTTATTGCCCCCACAAACTGGGTCCTCAATTTACCTACCTTTGTAGCTCAGGGTTGAAATGAGGGGCAATAATGTTAACTAGTTTGGGTAATAAAATGTCTGCAAGAAAATCAAGCCGGGAAAGCACCAAGGACCACTGATCGTTATGAGGGGTAACTTTGCCAGTTTCTTTGTACAGTTTTTCTCCATTAGTGCAAATATCCTTTGTAAATCATCACTGCCTAGTGTTAAAATGAAGTGTATCTGAGTAAATGGCAGACTTGCCAGCTGCTTTCCTAAATACTAATCAGAGTAAATTCATAACAAGTACTTGTGTTAGCAGTATGTAACCTGTTCATAGGAAATGCTGCCCTTCTTGTAAGAGAATAGGAATGCAACCCTTCTGGAAAAAAAGAAAACCTTACGCCTTCAGTTATGTGTCAGTGTTACTTTTTGTTATGCTTTCCCAGCATAGTGATACCACCTTTCTTTTTCATCTCTGGTGAATTGCTATGTTAGCTACTTTTTAAGGTAGTGATGCTGTCTTAAGACCCATGCTTCATTTTTAATAAGTAAAAGTAAGTTGATTCTATAACCATTAATATTAATCTAATAGTAGACAATATGTGTAGCTCGGTGTTGAACTGTGAAGTTCTTGGTGTTCTTTGACGATGGTTGCTTGCTTGCAGACATTTCATTAGCCAACTAGGTAACATCAAAGCAAATGAATATGGGGTTTGCTTATATATACTAGTAACTTGCAAACTATCATTCAGGATGCTGGTAAAGTTTGCTCAGATTCAGATTCAAAAGAAATTGATTTACAATATAGAAATATATGTTGAACCTCTCAGCACCTAATTAAATCAAGGTTGTACACAACATTTTTCTTGGAGAGGGACATGTTGGTCCCATGTGACCAGCAGGTGTCTTGCCAGGTGGGCAGGTATCATCAGCAGCAGAGGCAAGAAAACAGCAACGTCCAACTGGAGCAGCAGAGCACAAGGCAGGAACTTTGAAGTGCAGGAAGGCAAGGACAATTGTGCAGCTGGGACAGCTGAGGCTTCTTGGGGTGGCTGCAGTTTTGCACCACTCTTACTGGCTCGTCTCAAAGTGGCTGTAGCTTTGTGTTGCATTACTGGGATAAACTGACCTTCCCAAATTGGCCTGCAGCTTTGCACTGTTCTACTGGGCTTCTGAGTGTGCAGCTGCAGCTTCACACCAGGCTGCACTGCTGGGATGGCTGAAGCTTCCAGGGTTGGCTGCAGCTTCACACTATGTTGTGGCTCGGAGGCTTTTTGCAGCCCTAGAGCTGTGGCATGCTAAGAAGCCCCTCAACTGCAGCATGGCAAGCAGCCCAAAATCACACAGTTCCAGGACTGCTTGCTGCCCCACAAGTAAGAGTGCCGGGCAGCCAAAAGGGCAGAGATGGGGGGAATGGGCAGTTGTGGGAAGTTAAAAGGAAGGCAGTGCCTTATCTTGGAAGAATTGAGGCTCAGGGCTGATAGGAACCAAGCCAGAATGCCTCAGATTGGTGTAGGTTTTTGGCTAATAACTGGTGGAATTTTATTAATGACAATGGGGAATGCCGTCACTAAACAATGCAGTCATGTGACATTGCACTTTACAGCTATATCGCTTAGCAATGGAAATACCAGTCCCAATTACCATCATGACTCAAGGATTATCTGTATAACTCATAAACCATCAACAAGTTTTAAGCAGAGACTGCAAATTAGGAAGGACTAGGTATTGCATGGCACGTGGCTCATAGATCCTCTTCTGACCACCTTCCATAACTCTAAATTAAATTGATTTGAAGAAGTATATGCTATATTCCAAATTACATGCCTCTAGCATGTTCTGTACTTGGTATACATTTTTAATTACCTATAACATTTGCAGGTGAGAGTAGACAACCTTTAACACTGCCAACTTGCTAAATTACAATTCTTAACAGCTCAGGGCAGCATGGATAATATACTGAAGAATGCTCAGACTTGTAATTTAGCAAATAATTGGAAGGCCACAGTTTTCTACCACCTGGTAAAGAAATCTGAATTGTCTCCTATGTGTTCAAACATCAGCAGTGTCAAAATACTCTAGGTTATCAATAATATATTTGTTCCGATTGACTTCTGGCAACTGCCTAGACCAGGGGTCCCCAACCCCTGATCTGTGGACCGGCACCAGACCGCAGTATGCCAGAAACTAGTCTGTACAAGCAAACAAAGCCCCATTCACAGGATGTAGGCAGCATGCAAAACCACGCCCCCTCCGGTCCACGGAAAAACCTCTCTCCACTGAACTGGGCCCGGGAGCCCAAAAAGTTGGAGCCCACTGTCCTAAACAAACCCTTTCAGTTTTCTTGACAAACTTTTTTGGAAGTGGTTTGCCATTGCTTCCTTCCTAAGGGCTGAGAGAGAGTGATAGGCCCAAGATCACCCAGCAAAGAGACTTCATCACTTGATTTAGATATGGTAGATTACCGGGAGAAAAAAGAAGTATTGAAATGGAAGAATATAAGGCAATGAATTTTGAATGAATAAAAATCTACTTTGTGTGAAACAAAGTATTGGAGATACCTCCAATTTATCAGGTTAGTGACTCCAGCTAGCAAAGTAATAGCTTAGTATAGTTTAACAAACATTGTATTGCTGCCATTTAATCTATTTCCAACTTTCTATATACCATTTTGTTAACAAAACTCAGAAAGATACAAGTTTGCTAACTGCATCAAAAATTATATTGTTCACTTATTTTGTGTATATTACTGTTCCAGTTGTGATAAGACGTGTTGCTTAGTTTTACATCCCTCCTCCTGTGATTTTTCAGCTTTTTCTTCCTTTTTTCCTTCTTTTCTTTTTTTCCCCTATGTCATAAAAACAAATGTTGATTTTCTCTTGAGTCTAATTGCTAGATGGCATATCAGATTCTTTCCTCTTGTATCACAACTACAGAAAACATTTCTGCTTTTCATATACTTTTTAATTGTTATGCATAGTTCTTACTTAACAACCAGTTGCTTCAGGAATGTTCAAAGTTATGTCTGATCCCACAAAAGCTGCTTACGACCCGGTTCTGGAATTTTGATAGCTGCTCATACCCCCATGGTTATATGACCACATTTCAGTTGCTTGGCATACAGCTCATCTTTATAGCCAGTTCCAGTGTTCTGCAATCACATGACCATGATTTACCAAATCATGGTTTGGTTTTTTTGCCGATTTCC